TCCAGTTTTGTTCTGCTTCTAAAAGATCATCTTAGGTATACTTGGTCCTTTGCGTTTCCATGTAAGTTTTAAAATCAATTTCACCAAAAAAAAGGCCACTTGGAAATTTATTAGAAATGCATTAAATATCAAGATCGATATTGTTTGCAATATTGAATATTCCAGTCCATGAATATTTTATATTTCCCCATTTATTTAAGTCTATTAAAATTTCTTTCAGTGATGAGATTTCAGTGTAGAGTTTTTGTGTATCATTTATTGAATTTATTTATATGTATTTGATATTTGTGAAGCTCTTTATAGAGTACACATGGAAATACAATTGATTTTTGTGTATTTTCCTTGTATCTGGAAACTGATAATTTTGATTATTTATTATTGTTTTGTTTGTGTATTCATTTGAATTTTCTATGTATTCAGTCATGCCATCTGTGAATAATAGATTCCAATCCTTATATATTTTATATCTTTTATCTTATAAATAGCTCGTATACTTTATTATACTACCTAACCTCTAATACAATGTTAAATGGAAATAATGAGGGCAGACATTTTGTTTCATTCCCAATCTTAAGGAAAGCTTTTAATATTTGACCATTATATATTGATGCTTGTTTTAAAGGATTTTTTGTTTGTTTTGTAGAAACTCTTGATCAAATTAAAGAAATTCTTTTCTATTTCTATTTTTTCCCTTTTGAATTATCAATGGATATTCATCCTTTACNCCCGACAAGAAGACAAGCTACAGACTGAGAAATTATAAGCAAACTATTTTGAGAAGGAACTCTTGTCTAGAATAAATAAAGAACTCTCAAAACTCAACAGTAAAAAAAAAATCAATTAGAAAATGAAAAAAAGATGAAAAAATAAACCAACATTTCACCATAGGGATATACAGATGGAAAATAAGCACATGAAAATATATTCAACATCATTAGTCATTAGGGAAATGCAAATTAAAACCACAGTGAAATAGCACTACACTCCAATTAGAAAAACTAACATAAAAATAATGGCAATACAAATACTGGTAAAGATGTCGATAAAATGGATGTCATACTTTTCTGATGGAGATGCAAAATGGTACAGCCACTCTGGAAAATAGCTGGCCATTTCCTTTTAAAAAACTAAACATACACTTACCATATGACCCAGCAATTGCACTCCCAGGCATTTTTTTCTTTTCCTTTTTTTCTAGAAAAAGAAAGACTTATTGCTACACAAAAACCTATTCACAAGTGTTTAAATAGCCCAAACTTGTAAACGTTGAAATTTCCATCAACAGGTGAAAGTTAAGTACACTCTGGTACATCCATATCATGGAATACTACTCGGCAATAAAATGGAACAAACTATGAACACATGAAACAACATGGTTGGATTTCAAGTGTATAAAAACCAATCTCAAAATGGTTACATACTGTACAATTCTATTTATATAACATTCCTGAAATGGCAAAATTATAGAAATGGAGAGCACATTAGTGATTGCCAGGAGTTAGGAGTAGGGTGAAGGAGTGAGTGTGACAATAATAACTATATTAAAATTAATTTTTATCATAAATTGTTTCTGGACNGAGTGAGTGTGACAATAATAACTATATTAAAATTAATTTTTATCATAAATTGTTTCTGGACTCTATTCTGTTTTATTGAACTATTTATCTACCCTGGTACCAATACCGCAATATCTTAATGTAGCTTTATGATATGTCTTGATATGTGGTAGAGTAAGTACTCCAGTTTTGTTCTGCTTCTAAAAGATCATCTTAGGTATACTTGGTCCTTTGCGTTTCCATATAAGTTTTAAAATCAATTTCACCAAAAAAAGGCCACTTGGAAATTTATTAGAAATGCATTAAATATCAAGATCGATATTGTTTGCAATATTGAATATTCCAGTCCATGAATATTTTATATTTCCCCATTTATTTAAGTCTATTAAAATTTCTTTCAGTGATGAGATTTCAGTGTAGAGTTTTTGTGTATCATTTATTGAATTTATTTATATGTATTTGATATTTGTGAAGCTGTAGAGTACACATGGAAATACAATTGATTTTTGTGTATTTTCCTTGTATCTGGAAACGGATAATTTTGATTATTTATTATTGTTTTGTTTGTGTATTCATTTGAATTTTCTATGTATTCAGTCATGCCATCTGTGAATAAGAATAGATTCCAATCCTTATATATGGATTCCAATCCTTATATATTTTATATCTTTTATCTTATAAATAGCTCGTATACTTTATTATACTACCTAACCTCTAATACAATGTTAAATGGAAATAATGAGGGCAGACATTTTGTTTCATTCCCAATCTTAATGAAAGCTTTTAATATTTGACCATTATATATTGATGCTTGTTTTAAAGGATTTTTTGTTTGTTTTGTAGAAACTCTTGATCAAATTAAAGAAATTCTTTTCTATTTCTATTTTTTCCCTTTTGAATTATCAATGGATATTCATCCTTTACTTATGATAAATGTGTATGACCTTCTTAATTATTAGACTTAGGAACTCTGACTAATTTTAATCACATTCAAATTTATATGTTGAATGTTTCTAATGTACCAGACCATCTTCCAGGTACTAGAAATACAAAGATGAATTTGTTATAGAGTGGGTATTAAATAAGTGTTTCTGAAGCAGAAATAAAAAGAAATGTGAACCTAATAGATACCAGAGAAAAAGTATATTTTATTAAAATAATAAATTTAAACAACATTCAATTGTTTTACAATATTTACAATATAAAATTGATTACAATAATTAGAACAGTTTTAATGCAAACACATATGCATCATTCAATTTAAATTATTTTTATCTTTCAGAGTTGGGATGAAGGTTTAGCAAAGATGGCTAAAGCATGGGCAAACAAGTGCAAATTCCAACATAACAGCTGTTTAGGCCAACCATATGAATGCTATGCAGCTTTTGAATATGTTGGAGAAAATATCTGGCTAGGTGGAATAAGGATATTTACACCAAACACTGCTGTCACTGGTTGGTATAACGAAACTGAATTTTATGATTTTGATACTCTATCATGTTCTCGCGTTTGTGGCCATTATACACAGGTAAATATTTGAAATCTTATTGATTAGTTCTTATTTGTGCACGTTTTGATTGCAAGACAAATTTTATAGTATTTTGTTTTGAGTTTGTGTAAAACTTGCCTTCATTTGGGAGGTATTTTTCATTGAGAATAGAATTGTATATAGTGAGTTTTTTCCCCCGACCATTGAAAACTTTTACTCCACTGTCATCTTACTTGTAATTCTTCCCACAAGAAATTTACTATAATCCTCTTATTTTTCTCTTTTGCATGTAAAGTCTTTTTTTTTCTGTCTGCCTTTAAAATTTTCCCTTTATTATAGGTTTTGAGCAATTTAATTATAACGTACCATAGTTTTCTTCATGTTTTTTGTGCTGCAGTTCACTGAGCTTCTTGGAGCTGTAAGACTATAGTTTAAATCAAGTTTGGAAAAAAAAAATGTTAGGCATTTTTCCTTAAAATATTTCTTTCTCTCACTTTCTCTCTCTCTTTTCTTGCCAGAGTCCAGTTACGGATGTAGAAATCCACTTGAACTTATAACCACAGTTAATTGATGCTCCTGTCTCTTATTTTGTTGAATTTTTTCCCTCTCTGTGATTAATTCAGATAGTTATATTGCTATATCTTTAAATTCACTAATACTTTCTTCTGAATGTTTAATCTACTGTTAATCCCATTCAGTTTATTTTTAATCTCAGATATTAAAGTGTACATCTCTAGAAGTTTAATTTGTGTCTTTTTTGTCTTCAATGAATAGATCTAGTACGTTTGATCTTTCACCTAGCTTTTTAAGCATATGGGACACAGTTATAATAATTATTTTAGTG